TTTAAATTAGACCTCCCCACCAAGTCTTTACCTGGCTGGCTCATCATTCAGGTCTCATTTTGTTGTCAGTCCCACAGAGGTACTTGAGCAAATAAGCCAGGGGAAAAGGTTTAAAATTGAGATTTCAGATGTAGTAAAACTTCTGGTAATGACAGGCTGAAGTAGAGGGAGGTCAAGGAAACTGAGCAGCCAGAATGTTGAAATCATCCAGAATGACGACAGGGTTGTGAAGGAGGAGAAGGCTGTGAGTCATTGACTCAAGTCTTGATAAGTGAGGATGGGAAGGAGGGGATGGTATAGCTAGATGGTATGCACTTCAGGGGAGGAGAGATGGTCACAGGAAGAAATGGCAATAATGGCTAGGAGGCAGCAAGGAGAATAAAGAGGACATCAATGTCACCTTCTTACCTTGAGATGGAGGGGAGAGAAAAAGAGACTGTATGTGAGAAGCTGGCCAGAAAGCAGTGTGCTCGGAGGAGAGCCAGTCTTTAATTTAGGCCAGGAGGGTGACAGAGACTTTCAGAAAAGATACTGAGGACATAGAGGAATTTGCCGATCACAGAGGAGACTTGAGAGCCTAGTGAAAGAAGGGGAGGGAAGGGTGAGGACTCAGCCTTCAAGACCTGAGCTCCTGGCAATGACTGGGATTTAAACAAGGTATAGGGGGATTAATTCTGCCACCTTTAGGGGTAAGGATGGGTGACCAGACCTGTTCTTATGGTCCAGGGAAGTTGCCCCAGGGTGTTGCAGCTTGGTATCCTTGATGCTGAAAGGTGTCTTCCTAAGGCTTCGTATGTTAAAAGAGTTTGACTCATAAAGCTTTGTCATAACCACTGATATACATGAGAGAGGAGGTGGATCAAGGGCATAAGAGATGAGAAGCAGCTTTGAAAATACCAGAAGCTGAAATCTGTAGTGATACCAGTTGTATGGTTCCTTTCTCCAGTGGCTCTGCTTTCCTTCTGTAGGAGATGAAAAGGAGAATTCCAGGACTGATCCAAGGTTCTTGGCTTACACAGCTGGTACTTGGCCCTAGATTCTTCTTGGTGGAAGAATCTAGAACCAGACCAAGCATCGTGTCTGGCCCTTTGTTTACTCACAATGTTCTGAAGTGCACAGCCCACACTGCTATGCTCTGCACACCTCTTTGGATTCTCTGAGCTTCTGATTAACCACTTGTTCTTCTGAGGTGTTTTGGCTTTGCCTTAGGATTTTACAGTTAAATCTACTCAGCACAGCATCTGAAGCTTATCATGATTTCACCCTACTCTTTTTCCATCTGTACAATTGCATCCTTGGATGCTTTGGGTAACTAGTTTTTTGACTAGGCTTGACTCCAGGATCCTCCCCACGAGGAAGTACCTTCATTAGCCAATCTCTCAGATTTTTCTGGGCCTGAAAGGTAGGATTAGCCAATGGCGTTATGCAGGGCATGCACTGGACATGTCAGTCACTCCTCTGTAAGCAGAATTTAAGTATGTCAGGGAGTTTAAGTCAAACTGTTTTTTTTTTTTTTTTTTTTTTTTGAGATAGGATCCCGCTGTGTCGCCCAGGCTGGAGTGCAGTGGCGCAATCTTGGCTCGCTGCAACCTCTGCCTCCCTGGTTCAAGCAATTCTCCTGCCTCGGCCTCCCAACTAGCTAGGACTACAGGCATGTGCCACCACTCCTCGCTAATTTTTGCATTTTTAGTAGAGACAGGGTTTCACTGTGTTGGCCAGGCTGGTCTTGAACTCTTGACCTCAGGCGATCCGCCCACCTTGGCCTCCCAAAGTGCTGGGATTACAGGTGTTAGCCACTGTGCCCAGCCAAAGGCAAATCTTTTTTAAAAAAGGTATTGGATACTCTTGTGAAGTGCTTTGGTTGCTTTATTCCATGTCAGTCTCCTCCAAACCCTATGAGGTAGACACTATTATTCCCCCTCTATAAAAAGAAAATTTATGCTGAAAAGCTGAGTAACTTGCTAGAGATTATATACACAGCTAGGAAGTCACAGGATCACTATTTCAACGCAAGACATCTAACTTGAAATTCCATCTTTTCCACCATGGCCGACTGTTTTGCACACAGGAGAATCCTGGGAGCTAAGGCTGGAAGGATAAGTTGCATCTTGCATCCTGTGGACCTAAAGTGTTCTGCTAAATAGTTTGGGTTCTTGAAGGTTTATGAGTACAGAAAATATCTTCTTAGTAAGAGGTAATTAAAGGATTTTTATCCCATCATTGAGAGGGAAATTAGAAAGCAGATGGTATGAACCTGGAAGATGAGTAGAAATTTGAAGAAATTCTGCTGATCAAAGCTTTCTCTTCCTCTTGAAGGCAGGTTATCTCCAAACTTTGTATCTATGACTCCCTAAGTTCGCTCTGGTGCTTTGTCTCACAAAGCCTCATTAGTAGGGTGAGTGAGCTTAACCCAATTTCCTTAGCTCCTCAGAAACACACATTTCAATGAACACACTGAGGATGGAATAGCACAGGGGACAAACTTTTCATCCCACACTCTCCAAAGTTGTTATAAATTAACCAGAGGAGACAGGACTAGTAAGATGGCCATAATACAATAGTGTAAATAATGTAAGGGACAGGCGAACCCAAGGCTAGCCAGAAGTTTTGTGTGACTGAAAGATGATTCAATAAGCTATTTATCCAGAAGAAGAACCAAGCCCAGGACCCTGGGAGATTTTTCTGATCCAGTGGGTCAAGGATATGTTCAAAGAAGACAAAGTTACCTGGGAATGAGATAGTCAAGGTGGGAGCGTAGAGCTAAATGAAAGCACTGTGGTCAATATAAAGACAAGCTTAACCATTCTGAGAATCCCTGACAGGCAGCTATAGATTATAGGTAGGACTACAGGCACTATGATTATAAGGGAGAGCAGCATCGTTCTGTTGGGAGTACAGGTGGGATCCCCTGGGGAAGAGTTAGGGGCAAGCACCATGAGTCTAAGACAAAACAGCTTGTGGTGCTTGGTGGTGGATGAGGACCATGGGGGTGGGCAGCAGCTAACATACTGATAGCTACTCACTCATGGTAGCATTGAAAATACATGCACATGGGCCAGGCATAGTGGTTCACGCCTGTAATCCCAGCACTTTGGGAGGCCAAGGTGGGTGGATCACCTGAGGTCAGCAGTTGGAGACCAGCCTGGCCAACATGGTGAAACCCTGTCTCTACTAAAAATACAAAAATCAGCTGGGTGTGGTGGCGCACACCTGTAGTCCCAGCTACTCTGAAGGCTGAGGCACAATTGCTTGAACCTGCTGAACCTGGGAGGTGGAAGTTGCAGTGAGCTGAGATCACACCACCGTGCTCCAGCCTGGGCAACAGAGCAAGACTCCGTCTCAAAAACAAAATACTTTTTAAAACTATATATATGCACATGGACCCCCACACAGAGTTTCTTTTGCTTAAGACCTACTCCAAGAATGCAGAGAAAACTGTCTATCTGGGATAGAGAAGCCAAGTGCAAATCCCTTCAAAGAACAGTGGGTGAGGCGTGGTGGCTCACACCTGTAATCCCAGGAGTTTGGGAGGTGGAAGCAGATGGATCACCTGAAGTCAGGGGTTCAAGACCAGCCTGGCCAACATGGCAAAACCCTGTCTCTACTAGAAATCCAAAAATTAGCCAGGTATGGTGGCACATCCCTGTAATCCCACCTACTCAGGAGGCTGAGGCAAGAGAATCACTTGAACCCAGGAGGTAGAGGCTGTAGTGAGCTAAGATCACGCCATTGCACTCTAGCCTGGGCAACAGAGTGAGACTCTGTCTCAAAAAAAAAAAAAAAAAGTGTTGTCACTCATCTGTTTCCTACCACAAAGGGCAATCTAGGTCAAGAGTGAGAGATGGTCCCCTAATGCCAGCCAGGCAGATTTTTTTCCTGCAAAGGGACTTAAGCCATTGTCAGTTACCTTGTGGAAAAGTACAAGTTCTCCCACAGATCATCCATTAAATAACTAATGGATCTCTAGGGAACTTCCTTTTTCCCAGCACCTTCAAGCCTAATTGTGAGATCTTCATACATCTATAGGATCTTTAGATTCTAAAAATACTTTAAATCGGCTATGGTAAAATGTATACAATGCTGCATTTTTATATGAGGTACTATTGCAAAATCAAATAAGACAACTGCTAATCTCTAGTATAAGAAGTCAGGCATTTTTATTTTAGAATAGTATGGAATTTTCCCATTATGGAAACGCACACATGGCTGGGCACAGGGGCTCATGCCTGAAATCCCAACACTTTGGGAGGCCAAGGTAGGTGGGATCACTTGAGGCCAAATGTTCAACACCAAGACCAGCCTGGGCAACATAGTGAGACCTCATTTCGACAATAAAATAAAATAAAATTAGTTGGGCATGGTGGTGCACACCTGTACTCCCAAGGCATTCAGGAAGCTCAGGTGGGAAAATTTCCTGAGCCTGAGAGGTCGAGGCTGCAGTGAGTTGTGACTGCACTCCAGCCTGAGTGACAGAGCTAGAATCTGTCTCCAAAAAAAAGCCACACGAATAAACAAATGCAAACAAGCTACCAACAACTAAATTCCTTTGCTTTCCCTCCAGCATCTGAATGCATATAGAACACACTTCAAGGAACAGGTGTGACACAGCATGTGCCAAGAGTGGATGGGCTCCGTTGTTGCTAGAAGATAACGCCAATATGGGTACCTCTGTACTGAGAAGTACCTTATCTGTCCCAGCCACCTTTGGCTGCACAGAAGTGAGACAGCTAGAGGATGCTAGAGGAAGTCAGGCTACATTTGCCCACACAGTTTAGTAAATATTTATTAACACAAGATGATTTTCTTTGTGTTAACATGTACCATTCTCATGATCTCATTTAAACTTAATGAGTCCTCAAGGTATTTTAATGCTATCCTGTCTGCAGAAAAGATAGTCGGAAAACCTTTCTGGAGGGCTATTCGGCACAATTGGTATGAAGAACTTAAAACTATAATCTACCTCCAGTAATTTAAGGAAATAAACAAAAATGCAAAATATATGCATAAGATTGTTCATTATAATATATGCAATTTTAAAAATTCAACACAAAATGTTGAATATGGGAATGGCTTATTTAGTTAAGGAATACTCGATGAGGTATTATAAAATATTAAAAATGACATTTTTGAATAATATCTAATGAGTAAAATGCTTAAGATATTAAGAAAGTAAAATGTAGGCTATAAAATAATACACAGTATTACCCCAACTTTGAAAAGCATTTACATATTTAATACATCTACATGCACAGAAAAAAACTAGAAGCATATCAATTGATCCACAATTAAAATTTTTCTCTATATTTTTATGATTTTCAAAGTTTCTTATGCTATGTGCAGAATAATTTCTTTGAAGAACCAGAAACTAAAGAGAACCAACATCCGAAAGACCCATCATAAGGCAAACACTGAGCTAGGAGAATTTTATCAATTTGGTCATCTCAAGTCCATTTTACAGATGAGGAATTAGGCTCCACAATTTCACCAACGGCTCAGGGTGCCACAAATTCAAGCCTAGGCAGTGCCCATGTTTCCTGCTGCACCAAATGCCTCACCTACTGTGGCTCCTAATAGGACCCTGGGAGACTTCAACAAAGGTCATTGACAAAACAGAGCTGTGTACAGCTTTCCCAAGAGCAGTTGCTTTCTAAACTTTCTCTCTCTCAAAGCAGAAAACTCTTGAATCCTGACAAGAAACGGAAACTTCTTCATTGCTAGGGCTCAAGGTTCCATCCCGAAGCAGTTTTTTATCCACATACCCAGCTCCACAAGTCCACGCCCCCTTAAAGCCTATTACCTCATAGCTGTGGTATCAGTTATCCTGCTTACTAGTTTGGCACTTTGTCAGGTTATGAGCAGGACAGGGCAGACTGCACACCCCAACTCCTTCCCGCCAGCTGGCTCCTTGGTCTCTTCCTCGGTTACTGAAACAAACAGGCTATGTGCTCTGGCTCCCTACTCAATCCAAGGGGTGGGGGAGCAGCAAATATCCCAGCTATGTGAACTGGAGGACTATCTGACAACGCATCTTATCTTTTGTAACTCTGTTTCAGCCACATAGGGCCTCCAGGTCCAGCAATCTCATCAGACCCATAGCCTTGACGTTCAGCTGGGTTCTTGACTAACTGCACATCCTCAAGAAGGACATGGAGGTAAAATTTTCACTACTGTTCCAAGGCCTCTTCATCTTTTCCTGTTCTCTCCCAGAGGCAGAGACAGGAAATTATTTGGATGGAGGTCACGGGAAGTCAGTGACATTCAGGATTGAAGCATGTAGCACTATAGTTCATAATTTTAAAAACAGAACTACCTAGGGAGTTTGATCTGAGAAGAGAGAGACGGGGACATGGAGAATGGCACATGACACCACAAAACAGCAACAGGAATAACTGTTTCTTTTGATTCAGACTCTATCTCTTTCTGCACCCACATCCTCTTATGTGGGTGCAGAAAGAGATAAATGCTTGTTCACAAGTTTGAGAAATATTGGGTTAAACAAGGTTAAACAGATTAAGTTACTGTAGGTCTTCTAAAATGTGTTCATGCATACTCCAAAGATTTTATAGCAAGAAGTATTTCTTAAACATAATCGATTATAAAAGGAAGGATTCCATAGGCACGAGGACCCCAGTGAACGAGTTTTCGGAAGTGCTACTCCAGGGTGGGCTCATAAGGGTCCTCTAAAGATAGAAAAGTAGGTTCCCAAAACAAACTCTTTCCCACCAGCCATCAGTTACTATCTTCAAAACTGCAGTGTGGGCTCAGACAAGGTTGTCATTCTGTACTCTCCAGTCTGTACTTCAGCAAAGGTTTATGGAATTTTTCTACTTGCTGGTCAAAGTTCCTGGAAGAATACCCTGCCCGGAAAATGTTCACTGGAGTCAGAAGGTATTTGAGTGCTAGACCCCTGAATTCGGTAGCTGGAAGAGGGGTGGCCTTGCTGCTGTGGGACAGGGGAGAACCATGGCCCATCCAGGGGCTCTGATTCCCTCTGGCTTCTGGACCTCCATCAGCTCCCATGGGTACCAAGGGGGGCCCTAAACCAGTGTCCTTCCTGGTTTCTAGAGAGATAAACTCCTTATCTGTAGACCTTAAGTGCACTGAAAATCCCAGTGGGGCAGTCAACATAGTCACCCTCTTTTGGGACTCACAGAAAGGCACTGCCTCATCACATTCTTTGCTGCAGAGGTCTGGGAACAACTGCTTCTTCATCTGCAAAGGATGGTGGGAGGGCTGCTTTTCAAGATGCACAGGCCGGGGAGAAAGTTTCTCTTTCTTGGCCTTCAAGTCTCTGTCAGCTTGAGACTGCTCAGCACTTTTCTCAGGGGATTCAAATACAACACCCTGGGTTCTCTGCCTCTTTGGCCTCCTCTGCCTCTTTGGCCTCCTTTCTAACAGCCAGAGAAAGCTTGGTTTTCTAGAAGAAGAACTCATGTACTGCTGTACAGAGTCTGGAATTAGGGGCACGGAGACCCTGGGGCTCAGACTGTCCTGAAAGCCTCCACATGGCTGTCGACTGACGATGGGCACCACCTGGCAAGGCTTCAGTGCTGCAACAAAGGCACGAAGCTCAGAGTAGGAGGAATGGTCAGAGTAAGGGATGACGTGGATATCGGGGTGGGAGCTGCGGATTTTTCGGCTTGTGGGAAGGATACCAATGGTAGGGTGGGTCTGGTTCCAATGCAGCATGTTGGAATAGCAGATCTCCATATGGTCCACGGCATGGATACGGCCAGCGTTCTCTTCCACTGTGAACACATCTGCCAGGCCCAGTAGCTGTACCAACTCCAGGCGCCGAGGACTCAATACTACCCAGGTCTGAAATTCCAGGGCCAGCTGCTCCAGCAGTGATTCCTTTCCTAGGCTGTAAAGTCCTAAATAAGGTACCATGGATTGGGGAAAATAAGAGAAGGAAGAAAATTAAGCTACTGGAAAATCCTAATAAATCAACAAAATGTTTAACAAAAGTAGATAAAATTCATGGAGAAATCCATGGAGAATATCAAGGAGGAGGTGGCATTTGAGCTAAGATATATGAAAGGGAATAACACAGAATCCACTCATTCATTTAGTTCAACAAAAGAAAGCATTTAGCGAGTTTTAGGCACTATGAAAACTAATAAAGCAAGCTGTCAGCCCTCAAGAAGTACGATCTACAAGGAAACCCAGAAAAACCAGTTAAAAGCAACGTTAAAGATATGTGTACAGGCTGGGTGCTGTGGCTCCCACCTGTTATAACCCTACCATTTCAGGAGGCTGAGGTGGGAGGATTGCTTGAGCCCAGGAGTTTGAGACCAACCTGGGCAACCTGGCAAAACCCTGTCTCTACAAAAATAAACAAACTGTGTAGGGCAGTTGGTGCCCGCCTACACTCCCTGCTACATGAGAGGCTGAGGCAGGAGGATCACTTGAGTCTGGGAGGTCCAGGCTGCATTGAGCTGTGATTGTGCCATTGCCCTCCAGCCTGGGCAACAGAGTGAAACCTTGTCTCTTAAAAAAAAAAAAAAATGTATACAGTATTGTATCTACTAGGTGATAGAACTGGGGAAAGTTAAGCTAAATCTTAAAGGATGGGCAAGGTTAACCTGGCAAGGAAAAGGTAGAGAGAGTATAGTGGAAAACATTTTAAGAGGGGTCAGTTTTTGCTGTTACTAAGGAAGGAATTGGTAAGAAATAATACCAGAGGGGCAAGCAAGGGCCATAAAAGAGGGTCTTATATGTACCACTAAAGAGCTCTGACTTCATTGTGTAAGTGAAGGGGAGCCACTGAGTGTGAAGCAGGAAAATGGCTAATTCTAATCATAAGAATAATATGCTCAGAGCAGGGCTTTAAAAAGAAAAATATGGTAATAATATTATTTGACTGCCAGGATGAGAAGAAGCTTGAGTGGAAGTTCCAATTGAAGGGCCCGAATAATACTTACACAGAAGGAAATGGAGACATTAATTTGGGTAATAGTTATGGTAACTGATACGGGAGGTGTTGTTTAATAGCTGTTCTCAGACCTTTTCTGAAGAAGTTTAAAATCCACAACCAGATTGTGAATGACTTAAAAAGAAGTATATATTTTTTTATATCCACTTTATTCCTGATTATGGTTCAAAATCTCACTCCTTGGGCACAAATGTAGTGGCTTTTTCTTCTCTCTTGATATATTCCCACCTCCCTACAGCTCTTTCCCTACCAGACTGTGAGCCCTCCAAGTCAGACACCATATTTTATTCATCTTTATACCCTCACTGCCTATTGGATACTTGGCACTTAGTTGGTAGAGGCTTATTGCATATTTGCAAAATTAATCAAGGCTTACTATAGCATTCTCCTAGCCAGCTTTGCTTCTTTGAGAACATTCTGCATTCAAATATTAAGAATGGTTAGGATTGATATTTCTTTATAAGTAGTTAAGCAATCCTGAGAGTAGAGGACATTTCTTAATCAATTTGGTAATCACCCTGGAAGGTACATAAGTTTTTCAATGGCTTTGTTTAGTCTCCTTTTGAAACTCCTTTCAAAGTTGGGACACGTCCTTTTCAAGTATTTATAATGGTGGCAAATCTTTGCCCTTTTGTAGACTTACAAATTTGGAAACAACTAAAAAAGTAATTTGGAACCAAATCTATTACATTTATTTTATAAAACAAAAATTTTCATAAACTATTCCAAATGGCAACTCCAAGAAAGAGTCCTCAATAATGTTTTATACTATTTATAATCACTAGAACAAGCATACAGCTGTTTTCTTCAGTATACTTCATTTAAAACACAACACTCACTTAAATATCTATGTTCCAATAAAGTTTTTTTTTTCTTTTTTTGAGATGGAGTCTTGCTCTGTCACTAAGGCTGCAGTGCATTGGTGCGATCTTGGCTCACTGTAACCTCTGCCTCCCCGGTTCAAGCAATTCTCCTGCCTTAGCCTCCCGAGTAGCTGTGACACAGGCACATGCCACCATGCCAGGCTAATTTTTTGTATCTTTAGCAGAGACAGGGTTTCACCATGTTAGCCTGGATGATCTCGATCTCCTGACCTCGTGATTCCCCCCACCTCCGCCTCCCAAAGTGCTGGGATTACAGGTGTGAGCCACCGCACCCAGCCTGTTCTGACAAATTTCATTCATTCATATTGAATGCTTTTGTATGAGGCATTATTGTAGGTATTTGGGATATATTGTAAAACAAAGAGCCTGCTATAGTGGAATTTACATTCTAGCTGGGGGAGTCAGACAATAAAAAGTACAATAAATACATAAATTATAGAATATACTGCAAGGTGGTGAGTGCATATTGTCCCTCTTCTACTTAAAATTCTTCAGTAGCTCTTGGTTGGGTTTAGGATCAAGTTCAAAATGGCTTAACAGCACTCCAGCCCCTCCTGCCTTTTCAGCCTCCTTGCCCACTGTAAGCCTCTTCTACTGGCTGCTGCTTCTCTGTTCCACAAACACCTAAAGTCTCTTCCCACTTCTAGTGATGCTCTTAAGGAGTTTATGCTTGTGTGTGTGCACACGTGCACATGCATGTGCCACAGGAAGTGAGTGAAAGGCAACAAACAAGCAACAGCATATTTAAAAAGCATAGAGTATACTGGGAGGTTATGACTGCTAAAATAATGAAAAAAATGAACTGGTATAGGTGATCAGGAGTTGGGAATGGGGATGGTGGGTAGGTTGCAATTTTACTTATTTTATTCATTCATTCATTCATTCATTCATTCATTTATTGAGACAGGGTCTTGTTCTGTCATGCAGGCAGTATTTATTTATTTATTTATTTAGAGATAGGGTCTTGCTCTGTCATCCAGGCAGATGTATGTATGTATGTATTTATTTGTTGAGATGGGGTCCTGCTCTGTCATCCAGGCTGGAGTGCAAAGTCATTTACATGGCTCACTGTAACCTTGACCTCCTACTGGACCCAAGTAATCCTCCTATCTCAGCCTCCTATGTAGCTGGGACCACAGGCAAGCACCACCATTGCCAGCTAATTTTTAAATTTTTGGTAGAGACAGGGTCTTGCCACGTTGCCCAAGCTGGTCTCAAATTCCCGGGGTCAAGTGACCCTCCTACCTTGGCCTCCCAAAGTGCTGGGATTATAGGCGTGAGCCACCACACCTGGTTGCAATTTTATTTATTTTATTTTATTAATTTATTTATTTTTGAGATGGAGTCTAGCTCTGTCACCAGGCTGGAGTGCAGTGGTGAAATCTAAGCTCACTGCAACCTCTGCCTCCTGGGTTCAAGCAATTCTCCTGCCTCAGCCTCCTGAGTAGCTGGGATTACAGGCATGCGCCACCATGCCCAGCTAATTTTTGTATTTTTAGTAGAGACAGGGTTTCACTATGTTGGCCAGGATGGTCTTGATCTCTTCACCTCATGATTCAACCACCTCAGCCTCCCAAATTGCTGGGATTATAGGTGTGAGCCACCACACCCAGCCAGGTTGCAATTTTAAATAAGGTGGTCAGTGTAGGACAAAGTGAGAACCGCACAAAGATCTGAAAGATGCGAGAACCGTCAAAGAACCCAGTTCTCTACCTACAGGTAACAGAAAACTGAAAGGAAACAACTCACCAATCTTTATGTTATGTTGTGGGTGCTTTCGAATGAGCTGGATGATCTGGTGGGCAGCTTCTTGTCGGGAAGGAAGAACCAGGGCTGGGTTGCAATTGGTGTTGTCTAGGTATAAAGTATGGATCTGCTTCCCCAGTGTCAGAGCTGGCTCCTTCAGCATGGATGGTGTATATCGAAAATCACCTGGAAGAGTATGTATATGGGAGCAGAAGGTCAGAGACAAAAGAAGACAAGACTTTCCTACCTCAACAATAGATGGGTGTTTGCTTACAAGTCTTTGAAAAAACTATTATGTACCCTGGCACTGAACCATGCAGTATAGCTGCATGGTTTCTTTGTGGAAATGGCTCCATCCTACTTCTATTTTTCAATTACTCTTCACATGGTTTGGACCCTTAAAGAGTGGGAAATCAGCTGGGTGCAGTGGTTCATGCCTGTAATCCCAGCACTTTGGGAGGCCAAGGCAGGTGGATCACCTGAGGTCAGAAGTTTGAGACCAGCCTGGCCAACATGGTGAAACCCCATGTCTACTAAAAATACAAAAATTAGCTGGGCGTTGTGGTGGGTGCCTGTAATCCCAGCTACCTGGGAGGCCGAGGCAGGAGAATTGCTTCAACCCGGGAGGCGGAGGTTGTAGTTAGCCTCGATCACACTACTGCACTCCAGCCTGGGTGACAAGAGCAAAACTCCACCTCAAAAAAAAAAAATAGAGTAGGAAATCAGTTGAGATGGGGTCACTATGCTCATATGTGATGAAGCTAGAAGGACTCCAGCACCTCCAGACTTCTATTGAGTTAAGGCTGCTCAAGAAAAGTCTGCCAGGTGTGGTGACTTACGCTGATAATCCCAGCTACTGGGGAGGCTGAAGTGGGAGGATCACTTGAGGTCAGGAGTTTGAGACCAGCCTAGGCAACATTTTGAGGCCCCAGTCTATACATTAAAAAAAAGGAAAGAAAAAGAAAAGTAATATCTAGTCTGGAGAAGTCGCTGGGATTCCTTGAGAGGCCCACCTGTATAGAGGATGGTTCCAAAATATCCTTCAAAGAGAAACATGACTGAACCAGGACAGTGATTGGCATCGATGAGGGTTACTGTCATGGTCTCTCGTCCAATTTCATCTAGGGGCAATACATGGCTCTCACCAACCTCCAGGGCTCGGATCCATTGCTTAGATACCTGAGGAAACAGTTAGTCATCCCAGTGACCACGGGCTCCCCTCCCTGTTACCTCCTTGGGTCAGGGACTATCCCAAACCTGAATGGAAGAAAGCTGACCAAATCCTGAGCCAGCCAGGAGCAGAAGCTGTAATGGGGATTCCCAAGCAATCTGCCCTTCCTCCTTCCACTCCCCATCCCACCCTTTGTATAACTTAATTAAGAGTTCAGCAAACAGTCTAGTCAGCAATTCTCAAACTTATTCCTGATCTAAATCTCTTGGAGACTTTAGGGTGGGGTGGGGAGAGAGCTGGAGAACCACCGAGCACATTAAGCAGATTCTTATGATGAGGCAAGTTTAGGCCAGGGGCAGTGGCTGACGCCTGTAATCCCAGCACTTTGGGAGGCTCAGGTGGTCAGATCACCTGAGGTCAGGAGTTCGAGACCAACCTGGCCAACACAGTGAAACCCCATCTCTACTAAAAATACAAAAAAATTAGCCGGGTGTGGTGGCCGGCGCCCTGTAATCCCAGCTTCTCAGGAGTTTAAAATAAGAGAAGCGCTTGAACCCAGGAGGCGGAGGTTGTGGTGAGCCGAGATTGTACCACTGCACTCTAGCCTGGGTGACAAGAGCAAAACTTAATCTCAAAAAAAAAAAAAAAACGATGAGGCAAGTTTGGGAAACATTGGCCTAGCTTATATATAAAGGTAGCAATAGCTTCCTTGGCTGGACTAAAATATCTCAAGTCGGTCACTTGGAAATCATGTTCTTATTCTAGGTTAAAGATGCATTTCTGGTCCTGCTGAGCAGTCTATGAAAAAAAATACATTTCTGGGTTCAAACAATTTCCGTATTTGTAAAACAGTCTTCATGGACCCCATTCTATAACTCCAAGACTGACAGGTCAAAGTCCCAACCCAGATGCCTGGATCAGCTCTAGGAGGCCGACTCCAGCCCCATACCTGTAGGTGACGATGCAAGAGGTGGGCTGTAATTGGGGAGCAGTAGAGGGGCCGGGCCCAGGTGCTAGACAGGCCCACGGTGTGGTCCGAGTGCATGTGAGACAAGAAGAAGAGCCGTGCGGTGCCAGCCCGGCGCAGGCTCCAGAAGTCCACTGCGATGGGCGTATGGGGGATCAAGACCCCATTCATGGTGGCAGGGTTGGAGTCACCAGAGGGATGCTCTCCATGGGGGCAGGGTTCCTGCCTGAGACTTCCACAACGGCGCCCCGATAAAAGTCATGCTGGGACAAGAACAGGGCCAGAGACCCTAAGGGAAAGAGCCCAGTTGAAGAAAAAGTTACTAGAGTGGGTAGAAAAAGGAAGTGACCGTGCCCCCGGGAACCCAAATCGCGGAAGGCGCTCAGCACTCCCACCCGCGCGCGGGAGTGGAAGCCGGGTAGGGCACTCAAAAGCGCGCGCTGCTGGGAGGAGACAGGCCGAAGTAGCCGATTTCCGATTGCCCGCCGCACTCCACCGGAGGTAGCCGAGCGGCTGCGCCGGGACGGTGAGAGGTTGGGGGAAGGGCATCCTAAGGTCGCAGTCCAGACTAGGCTCAGCGGTCGCTCGCTGGGAGACCCGCAGGGCTGCTCTGGTCTCTTGACAGGGGGGCGGAACTTCCGTAAAAAACAAGATTGGGCCTATCCGCGATGAGAACGGTGCGGAGGCGCACGAAAGGCTGAAACTAGAGAGGGAGGGGCCTGCGGTCAGTCGGCCGCGGCGCTGGAAATCCCGCGGAGGGCCTACTGGTAACCGGAGAGATCTGTGGGCGGGGCGAACGGCCTGCCCGGCGAGGGTAGGGCCTGAAGAGCTCAGGGTGGGGCTCGCGGGGTCGCGGAGGGCGTGGCAGTGTGTCAGAGCCAGCGTGCCGGCCCTACGGAAGCCAAGCCCGGGGCGAGATCTCGCCTTTGTCTTTTCACTGACCCGTATATCCTTCACTCAGGCTCCCACATCAGGACGAGGAGGAGCCCACGAGTTACCGTGGGAGCCGTGGGAGCTGCCCTGTGACTGTTAGGAAGATGCCTTACCTCGGCTCCGAGGACGTGGTGAAGGAGCTGAAGAAGGCTCTGTGCAATCCTCACATTCAAGCTGATAGGCTGCGCTACCGGAATGTCATCCAGCGAGTAATTAGGTATCACCTTCCCTTCGTGCTAACTGCCCGCCTTGCCGTCCCCATCGGGGCTCCCTAGCCCCGGTCTCTCTCAAAGGGTAAATTAGCTTTCACACTTAGCAGTTACACGTTCGGTCTTCGTCCTGCTGCTTTGGAGTACCATCTTAGTCTCCCACCTGCAGCGTCTGTTACTCAGCTGGGTAGTTTCCTCCGTATCAAGGGCTTGAACGATAATTACTGCTGACCCCTGGATCTATAATATAGCGAGTACAGACTTCCTTTTTTAGCTTCAAACCCACGTATCCCACTGCCTGCTTGGCATTTTCATCTGAATGGTTTATCAGAGAGGTATGCCCGAAATAGCACGGACATCCTTCCGTCTTCCTCAAACCTGTTCTTCGGCTTAGGTTTGCGTTGATAAATGCCACCAGCAGCCGACTAAGCATGGGAGCCAACCTTGGGGACACCTGAACCCTGATTTCTCAAGTCAGATAGTTCTAATTCATAATTCTAAATATCTGTCTTCTCTTGTTTATTGGCATTGTTGTTCTGGCCCAGGCCTTCATCACCAAAGCAATTGCACCAGCTTTCTCGTAGGCCCCCTTGAGTCGTTGGAGACAGAATTTTTCCATTATACAAATCTTAACATATAACTCTTGCCTACAGCTATGGTTCACAAACTTTACTATGCACAAAAGCCCCTGGGGTGCTTTATTTCCTCCTGTCCAGGGATTGATTCTGATTTCAGTAGGGTGGCAGGGAACCCAGGAATCTGTATTTTTAGTAAATATCTCAGCTGATTCCAGTAGGAAACCAGTTTGAGAAAGAAAAAAGTCCAAACTTATCACAGCACCCGAGGAACAAGCTGTCAATCCAACTACCTGCAGACTCTCAAAAGAATGTGTGCCGGTCCTACTCATGTCTACATATCTCATAGCATGTATCATCACCTTTCTATTACATCTGCCTGTGGCCTCCTGCTGATTCAGCTAAAGTATTACTTCCTCTGTGAAGAAACATTTTCTGAATTCATGCCAGTGTCAGACCTCTGAATCCCCTCTGTATCTTGTACAATACATTTGTTTACATACTTATCTATTGGCCGGGCACTGTGGCTCACACCTGTAATCCCGGCACTTTGGGAGGCCGATGTGGGTGGATTACGAGGTCAGGAGTCCAAGACCAGCCTGGCCAACGTGATGAAACCCCGTCTCTACTAAAAATACAAAAATTAGCCAGGCGTGGTGGCAGGCGTCTGTAGTCCCAGCTACTCGGGAGACTGAGGCAGGAGAATCACTTGAACCCTGGAGGCAGAGGTTGCACTGAGCCAAGGTTGCGCCACTGCACTCCAGCCTGGGCAACAGAGCAAGACTCCTTCTCAAAAAAAATAAACAAAAATAAAAAATACTTATCTATCATACTGTAATGAATGGCATTCTTAACTGACTCATTAATAGATTTGTAGTTCTCAGAGGTCTGAGACCACACCTTCTTCAAGATTATGTTCCCAGAGCATAGCCCTGGATATTACATCCAGGCATGTAAAAGTTGAATTTCACCAAAGTGTACTAGGAATTCAATAAGTGTTTGTTGAATGAATAGAAGAATAATGTTTATTGCAGGCCTATGGTATGAAGTATTGTGTGATATAATAGACAAGGTATTCCTGGCTGCTACCATCTAAGAGATCACAATCTAGTTGAGTAACCAGGAGATATATAGGTAAAACTCCCTCCATTGTAAGTTGGAGATTTTGTATTTTACTTCTTTCTAACACGTGTGTTGGTTTCAGGTACATGACTCAGGGCTTGGACATGTCTGGTGTTTTTATGGAAATGGTGAAGGCCAGTGCCACTGTAGATATTGTCCAGAAGAAGTTGGTTTATCTGTACATGTGCACATATGCTCCCCTAAAACCAGATCTGGCTCTCCTGGCCATCAATACACTGTGCAAAGATTGCTCAGACCCCAATCCAATGGTGCGAGGGCTGGCGTTACGGAGCATGTGCAGCCTCAGGTGAGTACCCTCTTCTGTGTATGGTCTTCAATGGCTGCCTCAGCAGGGCAGATTTTTAAAGAGCACAATTTATTTGAGCTCCTTAATACTGGGGAAAACACTATTGTATGCTGAACTCAGATTTTCAGCTGTTGCTTTGGCCTGATAACCTGTATCATACAATTTTATTAGAGGGAGTTTTTCATTCTTACCCTCAATAAAATAGTCCTCAGTTTTGGTTAAATATTTCTAAACAATTACATGTGTATCTTTTTTGCTGCCTGTGCAGCAGCATTCAAAATGAAAAGTCAAATTAGAAAAAAAAAAAAGAAAAGTCAAATTAGGTTGGGTATGGTGGCTTATGCCTGTAGTCTCAGCACTTCGGGAGACTCAGGCAGGAAGATTTCTTGAGCCCAGGAATTCGAGACCAGCCTGGGCAAGATGGTGAGACCCTGTATCTACAAAAAATTTAAAAATTAAATGGGCATGGTGACACACACCTGTAGTCTCAGCTACTTGGAAGGCTTAGGCAGGAGGATGGCTTGAGCCCAGGAATTCAAGGCAGCAGTGAGCTATGATCAGGCCACTGTACTCCAGCCTGGGTGACAAAGTGAGACCCCCATCTCTAACAAAAACAAGAAAAAAACAGAAAAGTCAAATTATGGCTTTTTAAACTTGATAGAGATTCTCTGCAATTCTTCATGATCTGATAGAGGCAGCATCTGCTAAACCCTCTGTTAAGTGAACAGGGCTGATATATGTCAAAATTAGTATTTCAGGATCTGGCTAACTCCAGAATGTGTTGCTTAGGATGCCTGGTGTGCAGGAGTATATACAACAGCCTATTCTCAATGGTCTGCGTGATAAGGCTTCATATGTCAGGAGAGTGGCAGTCCTTGGATGTGCCAAGATGCATAATCTTCATGGAGACTCTGAAGTGGGTAGGTTCCGTGTAATCCATCATGGCCAATGTGCCTCTCTTACGTATAACTTTATAAAAGAATATGTGGCTTTGGTTGAAAATAATAATGTGGCCCTAGTTCTGTATATATCTCTTTAAGTGTGATGCAGGGCTTGGTATCTTCTGGGGCTCTGGTGAGATCTGATATTAGCTGCTTAGAACAGTCTGGACATGGCAGTTTTTTTGCCTTATACTTTAGTATGGCTTTTGTCATTTTTGTAGCAGAGAAGTTCAATTTTGTCTGCCTGGAGCTATTACTCTGGCTCTATCCCTGTTACTCTGAAGCTTTTCTTCTTTATCTGAAGAAGAAAATACACTGTGTTCTTTATCTTTGTTCTTTTTTATAGATGGTGCCCTTGTTAATGAATTATACAGTTTGCTGCGTGACCAGGATCCAATTGTGGTTGTGAACTGCTTGAGGTCTCTAGAGGAAATTCTGAAACAGGAAGGAGGCATTGTCATCAATAAGCCCATTGCCCACCATCTCTTAAATCGGTTTGGATGCCTCAGTGCTCTTTTTATTATGAGATCTGCGTCCTTGTGGGATCTTGTTAATTTACTGAAGTATTGAACAACTTATGTGTGGTAGAAAAGAAAGTTAACTATTATTAACTCCCTTGCATTTCACTGAGAGAACTTTTATTTGCCTTAGTTTCCCTTATTGATACAGGGAAATAGAAATATCCTGTGGGAATAGGTTCTACTCTTCTCTAGTCATTATATCCCTCAAACTAAGCCATTTATAGCATCTTAAAATGTAGAGAACCTGGACCTAGTATATGTAGTGTATGCTGATCATGTCTTTGGTCTTAGATGAGTGTGCATGTGTACTCATCTTGGAATTTTAAGCCTATTCTGTGGAAATTTTAAATAGTACATGAAAAGAATGATTTGATTATGGTACAGCCTATTTTTTTTGTTTGTTTGTTTGTTTGTTTTTTGAGATAGAGTCTTGCTCTGTAGCCCAGGCTGGAGTGCAATGGCATGATCTCAGCTCACTCAACCTCCGCCTCCTGGGTTCAAGCGATTCTCCTGCCTCAGCCTCCCAAGTAGCTGGGACTATAGGTACCTGCTACTACACCCAGCTAATTTTTCTGTTTTTAGTAGAGACCAGGTTTCACCATGTTGGTCAGGCTGGTCTCGAATTCCTGACCTTAGGTGATCCGCGTGCCTCAGTCTCCTGAAGTGCTGGGATTACAGGCATGAGCCACTGCGCCCGGCCCTCACAGCCTATTTTTAAGAATTCTCCCTTTG